GTTATCATTCAAGTCTCTTTATGGATCAGGATACTGTTTGAAAATACTGATTCTCTCTCTCTCACACACACACACACACACACTGAGTTTACAAAAATTAAATTGTACCTTCCACAATTCTTCTAGCAGAAGCCAACATCAAAGCTATCCCCATATCTGCTGTTGCACTGGACACTGCAAAAGGTGTATTAGCTACTTTTACACCAAAGCTGAAGATCATTTTCAAATCAAGGTAGTCTGTTCCTGCACCGGAGACTGCTATCACTTTTAAATTAGGTAGGGCTTCCAGGAGATCCCTGTTGGCCTCAGGTTTATAGGCCCACATAAATATTGCTTGGATTTTTTCGCTGAGCACTTGCTTGTTTTTCAGATATTCCTGCATGGTGATGAGTTTAAGATGTTTTTCCAGAAACTCTACATGGTCTTCATAAATTCCATCTGGACCTCCAATGACATTTATTAATGTATATGGAAGCTCCTGTTCTTCCACAATCTACTTAAACAAAACAAATAGATATTATCTTTGTAACACATATTTCTATAACAACTGTATGATGTTATTAATTGACTGATCTTAAAAAAGTGTACTGATAACATTTTAACTTTTAACAGTTTTTTGAGAGATGTCATCATTAAAACTAACCATATATTTTTACTGATGTGAAGACAGGGGCACTTTATTTTTCCTCATTCATTGAAGTTAATAGTTTGTACAAAAATATGCATCTAAAAGATGCCAGGTAAGAAAAATCTGCTGCTCTACAGCTGTGGATATAGTACTAAAAATTGACACTCCCCAATCCCTCTCCATGCTTATTTCATTATTTTAATTTGTACAGCGCTATTTTATTGGTTGGAATCAGCCCTGCAACCTGGTTGGAGCTGTAGCAATAAAAAGTCATATTCTGGAGCACTCAGTCCCAAGAAAGTTAGGAAACAAACTACTTTTGTGTCACAGTACTATTTTAATCTTACAACAGCTCTGGCTGTCTGGAATTCTTACACAGATATGTAGCCACAGATAGAAGAAAGGCAGATGAATACAGAAGATAACACTTCTTCTCCTCTTCTCTTTTTAAAGACATGTTACCATCAAGCACTTGATTCAAAGTATAAGTTTGCCAATGGTGGTCAATGGCACTTTTCTCTCCTCATGCCCTCCTACCTCAATAAATATAAATTACCTTGCTAAAATTATCAGCCATTGCGGAAAGTAATCCAGTTCAGCTTGCTTCTGAATTGTTACTTGGTTCAAAGTACAATTTGGGAAGATAATTTTTAAATACCTCCCAGCCAGAGGTTCCAAAGAAGTCAGCAGTGGAGGACTTTGGAATTTACAGAGTATACATAGTTCTCCTCCTCTATTTTACGTTCACAACGAATGTACTGGTCAAGATGGGGACTGCTCAGCTTGTCCAGCAAGCTAAATAAGGATCTGAACAGAGATTTCTAATCTGAGATCCTATTGTCCTATTTATCCAAGTTGAGTATCTCTCTTTAGTGAATTTCTTAATTAAAGGCTTAATTAAGAAATTCACCTTTCATAATTTTCTACTGACTATTTCTATTTTGGGAGCATTGTCTTAAATAACCAGCAAATAGTGATTGTGTACCTGGGAAAAAAAGAATTGTGCCATAATTCTAACATTCAAGAATACTTCTTTTGGCTGAAATTACTTACATAATAACAGAAAGCAGACAATTGGTATCCTAAACAGATACTAAAAACTGGTAGAGCACCAGCGTACAATATCAAGAAAAATAATGTCTCTTAACATTCAGACTTAGATGTGTATTCTGAACTACCCAAATCTTCTGTAATAGTTCAAATTCTCATTCCTATTATCTGTAAAATGACTATTCCTTATGCATTAGTTGTAATGGGCCCTGTTAACAAAGAGATCTTTCATAATAAAAGGGCAGAGTTTAATGATGAACTTTTAACCAAGCTATAACTTTAGAAGTTATTTTTTAAACTTTTCCCCTTAACCAAATGCAGCTGGATTATGGTCTTGATCCTATTTCAGCATTCCTATTTCAGTTGAATGTGTATGCTTAATTTTCTACTAATTACAAAAGTGTAGTTGACTTTGGTGGGCTTGTCTCATTTTTTAAAAAATTAACCAAGTGCTGAGTCCATCAGAACCATAATGTATTTCTTTATTGGATTTTAATCTCATTATTTTACAGAAATTATGTAGGTACAGACAAAGAGCAAAAATACTGTTTTTTTACTTCCTAAGTAAAATGATTGCAGAACTGCTGCATGAGTACTCTAAGTTATCATTCAAGTCTCTTTATGGATCAGGATACTGTTTGAAAATACTGATCCTATTTGAAAATACTAAATTTCTTATTAGAAGCTTTATACTGCGGACTAGGGAAAATTACATGGATTAAATTAAAAATAGAAGAAAAATAATCAATGATTAAACATCTGTTTTAGTACATCCTAAAAGGGGATTTTTTTGGATGAATGGAATTTAAAGGCATGGACTATTGGTTTGATTGAAAATTAATACAACTGCAAGGGTTTTGAAGATCTCTATAATTACCGCAAAACGTTTATTCAAATCTGATCACTTTTCTTAACTATATTATTTTTTGAACAGATTTCCTTTATCTTTACAAATGCTGCATAAGTATATTTCAAAGTGCTTTGTATTTCTTTCTTTCCCTGCCACCAATACAAACACCCATGTTTCTCTTTTTTGTTTAATTTTCTTTTCCTTATTTCCAAATTTTGTCTTGTATTTTGTTTGTTCCATAAAAAAAACAAGCCTGTTCAGAACTATTTGCTGTTAGGACCTTTTTAAATGCTGTTATATCATCAATTATATCATTAATGGAGTCAGCTTTTGAATGCCATGAAAAATTTGAGAGCTTTAGCAGTCACTACTTTCCAGTCAAAATCAGGAAACTATGCCTAGATTCATGTCCTGCCTGGTAGTATTATGTTTTGGTTGTTTTTGTGCCAATTCAGCCATTGCAATTAGTTAATAATATTTATATGGCTTAGTGGGTTGTGTGAACTCAGTCAACTGGGGTTTATTCAATAAATGTGGGCGAATAAAATTTGACAGTTCTAAGCAACCTCTCATCTAGCCTAGAAAGCCAAAACTGCAAGACAGGCAGTATGGTCTCCTATATTTCTGTTCTGTTCTCTTCTTCTTGTAATTGTCAAAAGATGGCAATAGGAGGCACTGGCAAACCACTTCCGAAACACCTTGCCTTGAAAACTGCAAAGACTCATCCAAGTGGTCACTGCAGAGTCGGTAATGACTGAGCGCAGATTAAAAAAAAAAAAAAAAACCACTGCAGAAGAGAGACCATTTCAAACATGAAAACTAATATCTTAAATAATAAATATTTCTGTGCGGGAATGACTCACATTCTTAAGTTGTTTGGGGTTGAACTTTGATGTGAAAGTCCTAAGCCTTAGCATCTTATGAATTTGTTGAATTATCTGAAGATTAATATTATGAATTTGCATTTAAAGCAATATGCACTTGTTAATTGGAGAAACTTGGAGAGTACCTCCATTCCCAAATGTAGTTCTCATTTTACAAAGATGACTGGATGTATATCTATTTGGTACAGATAAAGGGATGAAAGAATCAGAAACCCAATCACCATGCTCAAAAGCCTCAGAACAAACTTTTTTTCAATGGGATTAATATAATTACAAAAAATAATCACAATCACGTATTTGAAAACTGATAGAAATAAGTTGTCTGGATATTTGTCATGCTGCATTATTTCTTAGAGGTTAATGTCCTTTTCTTGATAATCCATTGATTATTTATATTCTCCATCAAGTCATTTGGGGATCACTTCACTAGGAATAGGAAGATCATTGAGAACTGCCAGGATGTTTTCTACTGCTTCTTCTGTCATCATGCGTAGGGCTTGCACTGTAGCAGTTCCAATGTGGGGAGTTATGATGACATTCTTCATCTGCAGTAGCAAGTGATTTCTGTGGAGAAAGCAGGCAGAATAATTTAGACTTACCTAGCACAGGCAGATGAATTGGAAAGTGACAGTCTCAAGACTGAAACCAATAAATGGGATATTAGCTTCTGCTGACCAGTCTCTACTACAGAAAGATTTCTGTGGGGCAGTATCTGATATGGAGGAACCATACTATTCAAGAGGCATAACCTGCAAACAGCCATTACTTGCTACGCTGATATTTCAGTAGCTCTGCCTCTAGTGCTACTCCTGTTATTGCCAAAGAAAATGGGAATCATTCCCATGAATATCTGCTTTGGGATGATTAATGAATACACAGTTTGAAACAACAGTGATCATTCAAACTTTTTTCATATGGCAAGACCTCTAAAAATATGTTCTGTGTACTCCAAATAGACACTTTCTCAAAACATAATTTATTTATTGCATTTATATTCTACTTTTTCTTTGAGAACTCAAGGCATACATAGGTGTCTCACCTAATTTTATCCACATGGTAACAACCCTATGAAGTTAGTTGGGCTGGGAGAGTAACTGGCCCAAAGTCATCTACTGAGGTTAGTCATTGAATGTGGACTTATACCCAGGTTTCCCCAGTCCAATCCCAATATCTCAATCACCACATTACATTGGCTCTCAAGTATGCTTTAAATATATCTATCAAACAAACTACGCAGGCAATTTTGAGGTGGGGAGGGGAATCAAATATTTACTTCTGCACAACTGGTTCTGCTTCCTTTATTCTGATTAAATAATTGAGTATATGGACAGATAATGTTTTCAGGAGGCCTGGCACATTTACAGTTTGGGGAGAGAGATTTTCACCAAGTGGTTGGCGTGATGGACATACTGTATCTAGATATAAAACCTCTATTTACTAGAAGGCAAATGGGTGAAATGGCTCCCCCCACCCCAATTCTAACCTCCCAGGATATTCCCTGAAGCAACAGTTCTCAACCTTTCGTACCCGAAGTCTTACCAATCACTCTCTCAAAAAATGTAGATCTCACCATGACAGAAACAAAAAGCCCACTTTCCCCAATAAGAATTCTATTATATTTATCATATACAGTAGGGTAGGTTTTAGAGTCCTCATGACCTACAACATCAGCTTTTCTTTGTGTTTTTCATGGGCATTTCCAGACAAGGCACTGAGCTGCAGCCCCCCATCCACCCATTTGTTCTCTACGAATGCTTTTGAGACCTATAAGGACCTGAGAAACATTTTAAGGAAAACAAAGACGATGCTAGGATTGGGTAAGCTGCAGGATAGTTTTCCATTTATTAATTCTGATTGAAAGAATATTTTTTTAAAAAATAACAGTAAGATGCTACAGGTTACATGGCAGGAGTCAAAGAGGAATCTGAACATTCAGTCACACATGGGCAACATGTTACCTTCCTGTAATATTTTCTTAATTTTTATAAAGAATGGGATGGCAAGGGCATTATATAAGAAATAGAGAGACCAGAGACATAATGAAACAGCAATGGATAAAGGACAAATTGGCTGTTCTAGCCCAGAATCTGAATATTAATAGAGTATTATACAGTAAACCCTCTAGTGTGTAGATTTCCTTATCATTTATTTTCCCTCCTACCAATTCCTTGTAGGCTTCTAGCTCGTTTAAATTAAAAGTTTGGATTTCCGTCTATCCAAAGAAAATTACAAATTATTGATAACTATAAACCAATGGTGAGTCAATTGTTGAGCTCAATCTAGGAGCCACTCACTCTTGTCATAATTTCATAAACTTTGGGAAGGAAGAAAAAGAGGTAGGAAAGAGCTGGGTGAGACATGATGTAGCTTTGCTTACCATTGGCTGTGACTCTGCTTCAGACTCAGCCAATCAGATTTGCAGTCCCTAACAGATTACAATATCTCCAAAGTTTAATTTTTACGGGGTAATGGTGCTTTTGAAAAAAGTTTGCTATCCCTGATATAGTTGTAAAGATGTCTAATTATAATTAATTCTCTCCTTCATAAACACAAAGAAAATGAAAGGGTGGCAAAGACAGCAAATTGGGGCAATGTAGGATCTTCTATATTAAGAATGTTCTTCTGAATCAATGAAAAGATATCACCTTTAGTTATTCCATGCCTGATTTATTATCCTTTTGTCCTGAACTATAAGCACTGTATTATTTTACCTTGGCAATGGCTCAGGATATGTCACATCCAGAGCTGCAGCCTTAATAACCCCATTTTGGAGTGCTTCTACTAATGCATCCTGGTCAACAACTGCACCTAAGAGAAAGGGAAAGTTGAAGTTACACAGACAAGACAAAAATGCCTTAAAGCTAATGGATGCTGCTTGTTACATGATATATAGCTGAATTCTGTACAAAGGACTTGGAGTTAAATAATTTTGCTCAGTGGAATTTATTTCCAATTAAGTACACTTAGGACTGCAACACCTTAAAATAAAGATGTTAGTTATCTTTCCATTAAATATATCCAAATCCATGATTTCATTGCTCAAGAACTGGTTGTAAAAGACTTATGAATGCAATCCTTAATATTGTAGCATGCCTATTTGTCCAGAAAGCTGTACCACAAGTAGGCGGTGAAATATGATTTAATCAAACTATTTATATATGATTTTGTTCTTCCTAGTATAACTGGTTTAGGCATTTATGAAACTCAAAGCTTTGCCAATGGAAATGTGACATCTTTACCTATTGCTTCCTTTCCTCTTAAAGACTCTTGCATGAATTTCCACTGAAAGCATATTACCAGCAGTCAATAGAAGATAGAGGGGAGCCAAATAATGCTTTCCATATTATTTTAAGATACTAGTGCTTAAATGTAATTATTTCCGAACAATAAATTACAAATATACGACATTGTTCATAAATGTTTATCATTAACCTTTCTGTACGTAATTGCAACTACTGATGGCAAATAAATGCAAGCTGGATAGAAATAATATTTTGCTAACAAGTTGAATGTTTATATTATCTACCAATTATAAAAGGCAGCATTTATTAGCAGGTGCCATTCTTGACTCAAAAATGCATAAAAGGCATACTTTGCTGAAAGATGCATCCTGAAAATCTATCTATTTGAGAAAGTCAGGTACAAAAGTTAAATTATAGTCGATTATTTTAAAAAAATATGTATTGTTATATTACACCAGCACATTTTTCAGAAAGCTGCAAAGACCAACAAATGTGGGGTATCTATTCCTTTTTATTGTTGTTGCTCTTGTTGTTTCTTCTAATTTTCTGCAACTTATTATTAAACAAGATAAGCAAACATAGGCAAGATTGATCTGTACATTGCTAGCTCTGTCCATTTGCCCTCATCTTACTATTCAGCACAGATGCGAACGGACTAATAGTTCTGAGCAGCAACAAAATTTGAATTGTGGATCCTATCACTTCATTTGTCAGATTTAACATCTACAGAAAAAAGTTTTGAGGGCAAATGTTCTAATTCCAACCTTCATCCAAAATATACTATTTTTAAAAAACATATCCTGAAATGAATAGATGCATTGTTTAATTTCATCTCTTAATAAATTTGTACCTCTTCATGCTTTTCATCTGGAGAGAATAAGTTGTGTTAAGAAGTATAACCTTATTGCTTGCACAAAGACAATCCAATTCGATTCTTGACACTAAGGGTAGTTTGCTCACCAAAATTTTAATCTAATATCTTTTGCTTCAATGAAATTTTATCAAGAAATAATCAAGAAAAAGCTCAGATTACAGACCCACCAATAGTGTTTTTTGAAACTATTGATGGTTTAAACAACAGAAATGTATATTTGGATAGCATTGCACCCTACCTCTGCAGATATTGATGAGTGTAGCTGTGGGTTTCATCAGTTCTAGCTCTCTCTTTCCAATGAGATTGTGAGTCTCTGGTGTCAAACTAACAACCAACATCACAAAATCAGACTGCTGAAGCAAGTCATCAATGTTTTTACAATATGTGGCACCAACTTCTTGTTCTTCTTCCTCTTTTCTGGAAGAAATAAATGTGAAAACAAACTTGAAAAAGAGTTTCTTATAGTGGAGTTGTTTGGGAGGTACAATCACTGAACAGGATAAATACTTTCCATTCTTGAGTAGCTTACTATTCAGCACAACTTATGACAGTATTTGTGGTTCTTCTTGCCTTGTATAACAAACTTTCTATTGTTCCAAAAATAACTGCTGCAGAGTATTTGTCAACTTTGCTGGCCATTAACAACTCAAAGACCACACACTGGCTGCCTGCATAGATTACTCTCCATGATTTTTATGAATCATTGATTTGAAGAAAGTATGTTGGTGTATGCTGTATTGTTTGTACAGTGGGGCAAAAAAGTATTTAGTCAGCCACCAATTGTGCAAGTTCTCCCACT